TTATCACTTTCAATGATCACACCAAGTTTAATCAGAATCGGTTGAAAAGTGTAACTTCTATTGTGCTCACGAACAAATTTTGACGCGTTTTTACAAAGTCAAAGGAAATAACTCGAAAACCGTTCATCAAAAATGCATCAAATTTGAACTTCTCTGAGATCTTATCAATTCCAATGATCACAACAAGTTTCATCAGAATCGCTTGAAAACTGTAGCGTCAATCCTGCTCACAAACTATTTTTAACAAATTTCGACGCATTTTAACAGTCAAGGGCAATAACTCAAAAACCGTTCATCGAAAATGCGTCAAGTTAGAACTTGTCCGAGATCTTATCAATTCCAATGATCACACCAAGTTTCATCAGAATCAGTTGAAAACTGTAGCTTCAATCCTGCTCACAAACTATTTTTAACAAATTTTGACATTTTTTTACAAAGTCAAGGGCAATAACTCAAAAACTGTTCATCGAAAATGCGTCAAGTTAGAACTTGTCCGAGATCTTATCAATTCCAATGATCACACCAAGTTTCATCAGAAGTGGTTGAAAACTGTAGCTTCAATCCTGCTCACGAACTATTTTCAACAAATATTGACGCGTTTTTACAAAGTCAAGGGCAATAACTCAAAAACCGTTCATCGAAAATGCGTCAAGTTAGAACTTGTCCGAGATCTTATGAATTCCAATGATCACACCAAGTTTCATCAGAATCGGATGAAAACTGTAGCTTCAATCCTGCTCACGAACAATTTTTAACAAATTTCAAGGTGTTCTAAGTCAAGGGCAATATCTCAAAAACCGAACTTGACCGAGATCTTATCAATCTAAAGCATCACACCAAGTTTTATCAAATCAGATAAAAACTGTAGTCTCTATAGTGCTCACAAGAAATGTTGATGGACGGACGGATATTCATGTGGGCGTATAATAAAATCAAAACCGGAAGTGATAAAAAAAAATTGAATGAGTCTACACCATGTAAATTTCAAGTCAATCCGCCAAATACCGTATATTTCCGTGTATAATGCGCAGGTTTTTACCCTGAAAAGGGATACACAGAGAAGGGGTGCGCACTATACATGGTTAAATAAGTTTTGAGTTTTTTTCCCCTTCGAATATACAGCGAATTGGTGTTGAACAACCGAAATAGTATTTTTCGATTAATTTCGGCAAGAAAAAGTATCAAATGAATTTTCAAAAATCGAAAATGTTCAACTGCTATCATATCCTTGGTTACAAGAATTACAATGAAGGAAACCCGATCAAAATTGGTTGATAAACACGCCCTCTAGAGTCCATTTTCCGTTTGTTGCTAACGTTGCTTCATGCTGCTCAGAAAATTTTTGTTTTACATTTAAGCTGGGATTAGTTACGAAACTCCACGACGTCCGTTTTGCCGTACCTGTTGCCGTTTCTGAGAAAACCGGCCTGCCATAGACGAAAAAAGAAAAACTAGAACTATTATAATAACAGTACTGATGCAGGAAGTGTTACTACATTCAGGTACATACGAACATGGTCTATTGCAATTACATTGATGTAAATATTTTTCTGCATCTCTAAATGCAAATATTCAAAAGTGCCTGGAATTTCAAAGTATATTGACTAGGAATAAATTAATAAAGACCAAGTTTGATGAAATCCGGATAAGAAATAAGGAATTTGGTAATGCGCATGCGCAAAACAAAAGTTCGATATTTCCATTGAATTTATAATTGGATTATACACATACATACCAAGTTTGGTTAAATTCGGATAAGAAATAAGAAAGTTGGTAATGCGCATGCACACAACAAAAATTCAATATTACCATAAAATTTAGAATTGGATTATACACATATATACCAAGTTTGGTGAAATTCGGATAAGAAATAAGAAAGTTGGTTATGCGCATGCGCACCATTCCATCAAATTTAGAATTGGATTATACACATACATACCAAGTTTGATGAAAATCGGATAAGAAATAAGAAAGTTGGTAATGCACATGCGTACAACAAAAATTCAATATTTCTATCAAATTTAGAATTGTTTTATACACATACATACCAAGTTTGATGAAAATCGGATAAGAAATAAGCAAGTTGGTAATGCGCATGCGCACTATGCAAATTCTATATAACCATCAAATTTAGAATTGGATTATACCCATACATACCAAGTTTGGTGAAAATCGGATAAGAAATAAGAAAGTTGGGAAATTAAGAGGGGGTATGCCTTTAATATGCTGCCATGAGCTCAAATTACACTGTAACATGGTTCAATCCACCCGAGAGCTTATTAATTATATACCATAACAGGACATACAACATTTTTTTGAAATATAAATGGGAGGGTGTCTTTAAAACTGCTAAAATTTTTTTTCTATTGGGGTTGACAGCTAGGTTAATCTAATTAGCCGATTCATCTAATAATAACCCCATGTTAAGTGAATGGGATTATGAATTTGCATGTAAGGTATGCATGTTATATATCATTGGAAAGCTGAGGATCGCATTTCGCTTACGAACGCCCTCAATTAGCAGCAATGCAGGAATCAAATCTGAAGAGGAGAAAAGACTAATACAATTGAGATTAAATCATAAAACGGAAGAAGCCCATTATTGAGCGGAACAAATGAGTAGAAAACGAAAGGAAATTGTGTTAAGGGCTAAATTGCAGGCTGCAAGGGAAGTGAATGATAGATATGGAAAGCTCCGAGGTGAAATTTAGAACGATAAATTTCCATCGGTCATTGGAAACAGTGGTATCCTCACCAATTGAAAATGCCAATCATGATGAAAAGCGGAAAGAAAACTATGAGGTTCCAACAACTTCCTCCAGTGGCACTCCTTCAAGTGAAATGATGACAATTTTCAATAAACCCAAAAGGATCAGGTTTTACCAAATCAAGAAATTGCTGTTTTCGATGGCACAGACATCTTAAATTATTTTACATTCGTGAAAAGCTTTGAACTTATAATAGAGAAGCATACTGATGATTATTCGAGAAGACTAGAATTCCTGCTCAAGTATAATGCAGGAGAAGCAAATGAACTAATTAAATTTACCCTGTTAATTATCAATCCAAAGGCTGCCTATGTGAAGGCTAGGGAACTGTTACATAGAGATTATGGAGATCCTCACCTGATGGCCCAAGAATTTATGAATAGAGCTGATTCGTGGAATAAAAAAAGACTCGGGTGACAAGTTTCTATTTTTATTGTAAATTGTGTGATCTCTAAACAAAACAACCCAGATATGACTAATCTGGATGGATTTGATTTTATTAAAACTTTGTGTCAAAAATTACCTATATTCATACAACAAAAATGGAAGTCAGAGAATGGTAAAATTAGAGACAACTTTGATCGCTCAACAAATTGTTTGGATTTTGAACATTTTGTAAACCTGATGTACAGAAACGTAATTGACCCATGGGTCAGTGGATTGAGTTACTCATAATAACAATCAACCAGTGAAACATAATAACAACACACCACAGAGAAAGGTTTACAAAGGTCAAACAAGAAACCAACAGTGGAATAGCAAAATTGTAAACACTCAATTGCATCATTTTGCAGATGCAACGGTGAGCTATGTGCAGTTCAAAAATTAACTCGGAGAAGTTCATGTGCCATTCATATTAGGTAGGTCTTGTGTCGCGCCAATAAGACCACATGCGTTGTGAAACTTGAATTATCGGCAGCAACATCGGTTGTGAGGATGAAAATATTGTGAACGTGAAAAGTATGTGAAACGGCTCGAAACTGTGATTATCAAGTTCACATCTCATCATTCAGATTGGATCAAATTGGAACAGGTAGTATTGTGGCTATAACGTTTTAAAAATATTCTAAGATTGAAAGCTCAGAATCGTGAAATTAGTGATGATTTAATGCAAAAATCATTGTCTAATGATGAAGTGTCAAATGCGGAAAATGCTAAATTAAAATATGTGCAAATCACTGACTTCCCAGAGGAATATCAGAATTTAAGTGATGATGTAGCATGTGAAATATAAATGCTCACTAGCTAAATTAGATCCTGTGTTAATAAATGATCTGCCAGATGTGGACTTCGTAATGCTACCATACCTGATTATGCTTAAAATCAGATTGTTCTACCAAAATGTGGTCACATTCTGTCATAGAAAAGTAGGTCATCAAGGTCGGAACTTGAGATTGGTCAAAACTATTGGAGTATTCAAGCTGGAGTTTTGATTAAGAATTTAGTGAGAAATTATGTTGTGTGTCGTAGATTAAATTCATGTGTCAGTTATCGAAAATTGGCAGATTTACCCTTTCATAGATATTTACCCTTTCATAGGTTGGACATTTTGAAATAAAAGTGGGGAGATCATTGAGAAAACGTTACAAAGTGATTTTTACTTGTTTTAGCAACCGTGCTATACATATTGAAGTAGCGAGCTCACTTGATACGAGTTCCTGTGTGGATGTAATGGTACTAACTTAGTAAGTGCTAATCAAGTAGTGTTGAAATCAGTTAACCGCTTTCGGGTAGTATTTCACGGGTAACCGGGTCTGATTTGAGATAATCGGTTAACCATCAACCATTTTATAAGAAGTAAAAAGAGAGCATTTTTGACAGAAAAATTCGTCACTGTATGAGTCTTTAACACGTTGACTGCCGAAGCCATTTGATAGTCCCCACTTCCGTTGCCGGGCATTTAGCATCTATTTGGAATGTAGTAAGTACGAGTCGTAGTTTGGCAACATTTACAGACTTCTGTTTCGTTTGCACTTCCACGAGTCGTATGAAAGCAAAGCTTAACTCGCGTTGTCGACCTTGCCATAATACGACTCGTATCATGGCAATACAATAAATGTTCTGTTAGTATTGCCGAACTACGATCTACAACCACCTAAGTTATGATAATGAATTATTATACTCGTTCTAATTTTAAGCCAATAAGAACCCGACAGGGCTAAAATTGCGCATGCGCTCTGAATTTGCTTCGCCACGTGTTAGTTGCCTTACCACGTGTACTTTGCCTTGAAAATGGCAGCGTCAAATGTTTTTAGCGCCGAACAAATTGCTGACATTATAATGGAACAACGATCAACTGACGAGAGTGCTGAAGAATCTTCAGATACCACCGCCATTGAAGATGAACTTTCTGATTCCAATTTTGGAAACCCTATGGTCTCCTCAGACTCAAATTCTTCGAGGTAAGTTTCATATGATTTTACGTCATGATATAGCCATGATGATATATGTAGATCAAAAATGAGTTTAAGATACATAATATGGACCTAAGATTTCATTTCCTGGTATGGAATTTTAGATATTGTTCTATTTCTTTGCAGTGATGGTGAAATGAAAACAACCCCCTGTGCACCAACAAGAGATCGGGCAAGGGTTCGTGGCGGAGTGAAAAGAGGTCGCGGACAACATAGCATAACTCCCACCCATGGTGGAGTGCGAACAAAAGGAGCCAAACGTGTTGCCTCGAGAGGACGAGGGGCTCTTGCAGGTGGTGACCCCAGGCCATTGTTAGAGGCTCTGGCGAATGGTGGTTTTGACGCTGACATTGAAAGTAATGATATAGATCATGTATTGGAACAAGAAGGTGAATCACAACAACCATGGTGGTTTTGACGCTGACATTGAAAGTAATGATATAAATCATGTATTGGAACAAGAAGGTGAATCACAACAACCATTCCATACACATGAACCACAGACAATAAATGTCCGAAATGCTGAACCGGCCAAAAGACAACATACATGGTCTGATGTAGCAAGTGGTCCTCCTATATTTCAATTTGATGAGCAATCTGGTCTTCTTGTGGAGACGCACGATGATAGTCCAGGCGCATGTTTTGATTTATTTCTTACCGATGAACTCTTAAACTTAATGGTTGTTGAAACGAATCGATATGCTGGTATTGAAATCAACAAACAACGTCCGCTGCGACGAAAATCTAGATTCCATGACTGGAAGGAAACTAACACTGAAGAAATGAAACATTTCATAGCATTACTCCTTCATATGGGACCCGTTAACTTACCAACAGTGGAACATTATTGGAGCAATAATGCCCTATACAAATCCGTGTTTTTCAAGGGTGTCACTGGAAGAAATCGTTTTCAGCTTCTGTTGAGATTCTGGCACTTCGCCGAGAACCATCTGATGATCGTCTTTATAACATTAGACCAATGCTGGATAGTTTTAATCAGGGCATGAATAGAATATATTATCCCTTAAGGGAATTGTCAATTGATGAGTCCATGGTACTTTGGCGTGGTCGATTGATGTTTCGTCAGTATATCAAAAACAAGCGTCATAAGTATGGTATAAAACTTTATGAATTGTGTGAGTCAAGAGGCTTAGTTCTTAGAATTCGTATATACTCAGGAACATCCATCGAAGATCCTCATTGTCTACGACAGTCTGCTGCAACCGTTCTTGATCTTTTACGAGGTTTTCTGGATAAGGGCCATGCTGTTTTTACAGACAATTACTATAACTCCGTCGAATTATTCAAGTTGCTGTCAACACGCTCTACTTACATCTGTGGGACATTGAGAAGTGATAGGAAGGGTAACCCAAAAGAAGTTGTTAACAAGAAACTGAAGAAAGGGGAGGCTATTTGGAGAGAATCAGAAGGGGTCGCAGTTTGTAAATGGAAAGACAAAAGAGACGTGCTGACAATATCCAACATGCACTCCGTAGAGATGGTCGCAGTCAGAAATCGCAACGGAAAAGAAATCCAAAAACCAAACATAGTCAGAGATTATAACAGTGGTATGTCTGGGATCGACAGATCCGACCAGATGCTATCTTATTACAGTGCATTGAGGAAAACTATGCACTGGTACAAGAAAATAGTCTTCATATCATAGACGTTGCAGTGATGAACGCCCATATCTTGTACAATGACAAGCACTTGAAGAAAATGAGCCTTCTGGAATTCTGTGAGGCAGTGGTGATGCATCTCTAATAGGGGATCGTCTAACAAATGAACTGAAAATTTGAGCAAGACGTGGAGGAGTTGATGATTCAGCTGAATTTCATTTCCTTGAAGTAATCCCTCCTTCTGAGAAGAAACAGCGACCCACAAAGCCATGTCGGATTTGTTCACAGAATAAACAGAGACACGAAAGCCGTTACTTCTGCCCAGTCTGCAGAGAAAAACCAGCATTGTGCGTAGATAAATGTTTTCGGCAATATCATAACGAGAAAAACTGATTATGTAACTCATTGTTTTCTGTTTATGTGACAATTCGAAATAAACGCAAATGCTCTTTTGACAACTCTATCGTCCCTCATTGCCCAAAAGTTTGTATTTTGTAGATTATATGGTGTCAGGTTCTGTTGCAGAACTATAAAACAAAGGTCTTTCTTCATTGCTGACGACTTTATGATCAATTGAAATTCATATAGCTAAATCCGAATATACTCGTAGTCGGCAATGGGTACTGAACAACTTTTCTCGTAGGTCGGCAGTTAACGTGTTAAGCTGTTTTTTTTAGTAAATAAACATCTTTATTGATGGAATAATTGAGATTAATAAATCAAGATAGGGTACAATTATCAAAACACACTAACGAGTTGCAAGAATTGTGGTCAAGATTATCAAGCCTCTTTTTTTATGTAAGTTCAACTAATTACTCGTTCTGGATAATCGCGTCACGATGGTCTTAGTTTGTCGACAGTCGCCATGTGCAACGTTATGTTAATTAGGTTAAACAAATAAGCACTGGAGCACTGTAATCATTATCAGACGTTCGGCACGCGCCACGGTTCGTTGAATCTTGTTATTATTTTTATTGTGTTGCGGAAATGTAACATAGTGTTTTAATGAGTTGTGTTATTATTTCAAGCGGGTACCAGTTGCTTAGAATAAAACAGTTATAAAGATTGTATAACTTTTTATTAATGTTCTATCCTCTAATTGGCTGTTTGTTTCTTCTCGCCTGTCAATCAGCTTCAAGCTTATTAATATTCATGAGTACGGATTCATTGAGACAATAGTTTTGTACCAGTTGTGGAACAAGTACACTGATTCAAGGTGACTTCAATGAGATACACTCATTACACTGACCCCACAACTGGTATAAAAACCTTTGATCTGTTAGAGGTTGTAGCAATGAGTGACAATGGTGCCAGTCTGAACTCTGACAGGCCCGCTCGTAATCTTATATTGAAGAAGACGCTTCGATGGGTTGTTTGGTATCTGTTGATTTGTACCGACAATTCGCAGGGAACTAGTCAAATTCTTCCTGGGTACACATTTACACTTACTCTAGTTTAGTTAACGGTGAGTTACCGCCGCAAATGCGGTTTTTGACTCCTTTTATAATCTTTAGTAATTAACTGGGATTAATCGGGTAACAAACAGTTATTGCCGATGTAAAATTCACTAACCGTTTCAACACTATAATAAAGAACTTCAACAAAGCATTGAAGAATTAAATGTAGATTTTTGAATCAATATGGTGTAAAAGTAGGTTTTCAGTTTCATTTTAACACCCCAGCTGCATCTGGGAGAGACAGATCAGGACAATTAGAAAAATCTTATACTCAATACTTTGCGAACAATTTCTTAGAACTGATCAAACCAAAGAACAGTAATGAGTGTTATAACGCCAAATTTGTTATTATTATTACAACCGCTAGTGTATCCCCCTGGAATAGAACGTGACATTTATGCCAAAAGTCGCTGGCGTCAAATTCAGTATTTGGCAACTTTATTCTGGAAACGGTGGATAAGGGAATAGCTTCTCATGTTGCAACAGCGACAAAAGTGGTTTAGACCACAACGTAACTTTGAAATTGATGACATTGTGATTATTGTGGATGACAGTTTACCTAGGTATACATGGTCTCTTGGTATGATTATTGAGACATATCCCAACAAGCAAAGACTTGTTAGAAGTGTTCAAATCCAAACTCAAAACATCCGATTTAGTTTGACCTATAAACAAAATCTGTGAAATGGAGAACTTTCGTGAAACTGTGAACTGTCAGTGAAATGGAGAACTTTCGTGAAATGGAGAACTAGATGGTGAGTTTTCTAAAAAAAAACATGAACTATCGTGTTATTGTGAAACCTGAACTATAGCAAACAAGCGTGAATAAATATTTATGAACTGTGAGAAACGTGAATGTGAACAATTTGATTCAAAATCTTCATTTCAAACATTTTATTGTTGAAACATTTGTGTTTTATTTGTATTTTGCATGTATGTTTTCTTTTGCATGTATGATTATTCTTTCCAAAGCAAGGATTAATGTTTTCAGTTTTATATCATTTTGAACATGTTTAATATTCTTCTTCTTATTTGTTATAATAAGCTAGGGGCTGGTATGTTATGTTCAAAATGCCAATGTGTCAAATATCGTAGACCAGCGTGACAAATAGCTCATGCTGTTATTAGTACTTAGTAGAAAGTCCTGAGGTTAATCCAGTCCTGAGTCAAGTATATTATTGTTAATGCATTGTGGCTTGATATTCGGGTATATGTTGCCGTTACTTGGTGACAGTGTGCATGATGTGATGGTGAGCACATTATTATTGAAAATTTGTGGTCCAAAAGGAGTCAGAGCCATAAAATTTTTTTATCACATCGCAACATAGCGCATTTTATTCATTTAAATGTTTCCATATTTTGTGACAATATATTTTGATATTTTCTTATCTCCGGGCAATGGAATCATTGGATGATTGGGCGCGTAACTAATGTATCCTGATGTCATCTCTCTTAGACCCATCACACACATACATAACAAGTTTGGATAAGAAATAAGCAAGTTGGTAATGTGCATTGCGCACAACATAAATTCAATTTTTCATCAAATTTAGAATTTGGTTATACACATGCATACCAAATTTGAGGAAATTTGGATAAGAAATAAGCAAGTTGGTAATGCGCATGTGCACAACAAAAATTCAATTTTTCCATCAAATTTAGAATTTGGTAATACATATGCATACCAAATTTGATGAAATTTGGATAAGAAATAAGCAAGTTTGTAATGCGCATGCGCATATTTATATGAAATAATCATGTTGCATATCGCTGGAAAGGTCAGAATCTCTACATTACAAAATCGAAAAGAATTATTGCTAGAAGGCAAATATTCCACCTTCAGCGTGGTACTGAATAATAGAATCACGCCTTTTAGTTTTTCAAAGCTAAAATTTGAAAGCCTTTTCAAGAATGAGGGCAATATCTCCTACTAAATATTTTAACTTTTTCTGATTTTCATTAGGGTTCAACCTTGGGTATAAACACTCACATCAAATTGCGTCAAAATCTGTCAAGAGTTGTTCCTTCTAGAGTGAAGGAGAACAGGGGCAATAACTCATACTTAATATTTTTCTGATTTTTGATAGGGTTCATCCTTGGGTAATAACGAACACTCACACCAAGTTTTGTCAAAATCCTTCAAGAATTGTGCCTTCTAGAGTGATTACGAGCTAAAAATTAAACGCTTTTTCAGGAAGAAGGGCAATAATTCATAGTAAATATTTTTCAATTTTTCTGATTTTCAAGGTCACAAATCACAGTAAATATGAAGGTCATCAAAGGTCAAGATATATACGCCTTTTATACGAAATAGTATTTTTCGATTTATTCGGCAAAAAAAA